AGCCAAAATGTGCTTTTTACTGTTTTGTCTTGCTTTTCAAAAAAAAAAATCAATTACAAAACAACAATTTAAAAATATTTAACACTGAACATTTTTAACATTCTAGCAGACATTATACCAACAAAGCACAATTTAACTTCAAATTCATAAGTTAGTAAAATAATACTTTTTTTGGCCATCAGACCCCCTTCTTGAATCAGGCATGTATTTTTTACTATACAAATAAAAGCAGCCTTGCTGAGCAGAAGAGCCTTCTTTTAAAACAGAAAAGATCCCAATTTGAACACTATGTGTGAATGTTATAATAAATGTATTAACAGACCTGTTGAAATTATTATTATCATTATTATTGTCTTACTTTTTATTTAATTTTACAGAACAACAGTAAAATTACAATACTAACATTTATGAATGTTGATGGAGTTCTTGCTTTTTCTCAACTTTTATTTTGGCGTAAACACGCAGGAAAACCTCAGCGCTTCTTTTTGTTGACAGCAGCAGATTTATAAATGAGTCTCATTACGAATACGTCGCACGTATCGCATTGTCACGTGCCTTGTAAAAAAATCATAAAAATGTGACTGAGCAACTGATGAGTAACACAGTTTCAGCGCAGATTTTCCTCGCGCTTTGGATTTTGAACCCTGGTTAACAAGCAGAGGCCATTTCACGATTTCAATCATACAGTAACGAGCAACAATCATTACAATCATTACATGTCTTCTTATCGAAGACATGTGATGCAGCACTAAACAGTCTCTCGCTGTCGGTGCTTGTAATGATTTTTGCGTCTTTCTTGGACAGTTTTAAATGCTTCCACACTGCTGACATTTTTTCACTTATTCGGCCGAACACCGAAATAGCTTTTTTTGCTATTTTCGGCCAAATAATTTCGGTTACCGAACATTCGGTGCATCCCTATTGCTCTATGTTGTACTGAAATTCAAAGCTTACCATGCTTCATCTTGGAAATAAAGCTTCATGTCTTTAAGTCCGTACCGTATGTAGTCGGCGTTATTTCTCTGAATAAGTTATGATGTGTTTATTTTTAATGTCCTGATTGAGCAACATCTATTTCAGACTCTGAAAGATCACGCAAATTCTATGGTGTTTTACTAGCATTACTGTTTCCATGGGAGTAAAATGTTATGTATATATGTTGAATTAATTATTAATTTAACCAACATTAACTGCTTCAAAATGAATGCTGTTAACGAAATAATTGCTGAATTATAATTGGCGAATTAATGTATAAGTGTATACAAAGCATAAATCTTTATTCAAATTTCAGAATGAGCACTTTGTCATTTGTAATACATATGTTGAGCATGCCATGTTATCATGTTCATCTGATGTACATTTATGACGTCATGAGCAATTCGGTTCTCTATTATAAATCAGTGTACATAGCCAAATTTGACCAATACTGCTAAATTAAAAAAGCCACTAATACTGGCCAATATTCAATATATTAAGCATCCCTTGTTTTTAACAAGTCAAGAATATGTCATATTTAAGTACCACGTTTAAGCAACAAATTCCTGGCGCTGTATATTAAATGAGTGTGCACATGTACTGATTTTGAAAGTCTTTTTCAGCTTCATGCATAAATAGCTCCGAGAGAGAGGAGGGAGGCAGGGTGCTGTTAAAGCTTTTAGTTAAAGGGCAGCCGTCACCTTGGCACAGCCTGTGCCATTGACTGGCGGGTGGGCAGAGAAAAGCTTAAGTGCCCCCGGGGGATGGACACGAGATGGGGATGTAGGATTGGAGAGGAGATCAGTGGCTAGATGCTGGATTAATGGGGACCCGTTATGGGTTACATTATCCATCACAGTCAAAGCCCCTTTGACCAACACTAACCAAATTAATGCAGCTTCCCAAGGTAAAGGCCCCCTTTAAGCCCACCCATTCACTGCTCACACATCTTTACCTCCCACCTAGCACCAAACGTCATTTGGACGTCGTTTTTTTGGCTAAATCAAGTCGGCCCATCATGGACTTCTTTTAGCCCAAAAAGCGATGCTGAAAATTGGTCTTTGTTTGGTCCGTCAAATTTGGTCCAAATTTAGCCCAAAAATCGACGTTTAAAATTGGGTTTTCAAATTTTCAAATTTAGCAGAAGCACGTTTATTTCGGACCACATATAGCCCTAATATAGCCATGAACAAAAATGTAGCAGGTGAAAAAATAGATTAGACATTTGACATATCTGAAGCACTGTTGAATATACTGAAATATATTTTGAAAATATATTTTAAAAATACATAAAACATAAAGCTTAAAATTTTTTCCTAATGAGTAATGTGTACGAATATTCATGCATTTTTAATAATTGTTTTTTTTTTCAATGATATTTCTACACCACGTTTACCATTTCTAAAGTTATTATTATATTATATTATATTTACATAAATTCTGCGTGACTTCTACATGCTTTAATGGGCGCGCGCGCTGAACTGGAGCGGAGGAAGTCACCATGGAAACTGGGCGGCAGCTCAACTGTCAGCAGCAACTCCATCTCTCAGTTGTTTTCACTAATTTTGTTTTCACTAATTTCAGGTAAGTTTAGTCTCTAAAATTACACAAATACTACATACAAGCGTTCCTTACACTATCTTTCATGTAAATGACAAGCTTCCGTTGAATATTTACTTTATAGAAATGGTTTAGTGTCTTCATAAAAAGTCCGTTAGCATCTCAACCGTAAGGCTAACTATAAGGTTAACTATAGACTTGAGCTCTTGTTTCTGAAAGTCTGGGCTTTTAATGTCATCTTATGTGTAGATGAGCATTTTTTATATAAAGGTTTGAATTAAATTAACCTAAAAGTATGCACTGTACAGTTAATCGGATACGTCACTTGCATAGAGAGTGAAAATGGGCTGAAACTTAAAAGAGGTTTTGATCTTTCATGGCGTCAGAAAAAAACAAAAAATGACACAGGAGAAGTTCCTGATTTTAAAATTTCTGAAGGGAGCTGCTGACAGAGATATAGAAAACACAGGTGATCTGAGAAAAATTATTAAATAACTTTATATGCATCTTTCACAACATATTTCGCCTATATCATCATGCATCTGTAATTTTCTTTTGCAAAATTATGTGTGTGTGTGTTTGCTTGTTAGTTATTTTAAAAGGGCTTTGATGTCCAAACGTAAGAAACACTGTAAGAGCATTACTAAATAAGTAAACCTAAAAATGTACATTCTGTTATTAAATCCTTTTTTGTATATTCTGTCAATTATTATTTTTCACCTCTGCTATAGTTTATTTATAATAAACCTGGCAATGGCATTGTATAATAAATATTGTTGACTCTGTGACAGATTGTTTATGTTGCTAGATTCTTCCATGCTGATGGCCGTGCACTAGAGTTGGAGCGTATCTCCTGTCGAAGAAAATATCTAGACATTATGAACCATATGACTAGTAAGTAATACCTCAAACATACACTACCTAAAGTTTAAGGGTCAGATTTGTCATGTGTTTGAAAGAAGTCTTTTATGCTCACCACTGCTGCATTTATTTGATTAAAATACAGTAAAACAGTAATATTGTGAAATTACCATTTTTTAATAACTATTTTCTATTTCAGTATTTTTTAAAAAGTGATTAAAGTGGAATTTTCAGCATCTTTACGCCTGTCTTCAGTGTCACATGATCCTTCAGAAATCATGCTTTGTGAAAACAAGAATAAATTAAATTTTACAATATATTCACATAGAAAACAGTTATTTTAAACAATAATAATATTTCACAACATTACTGTTTTTATTTATAATCAAATAAATGCAGTTTTCTTGGTGAACATAAGAGACTTATTTCAAACTTAAATAACACAAGGGATTCGAATATTAATCCATTTATTCTAATAAAATCCAAGAAGCTCTTAAAAATATTAACATAAATAGTCATTTTTTCCTCTGGTGATTTGTATTGTATACCAATATATATAGCAGATTCCCATTCTCTATCTCCAAGCTACACACTCTTACACAGTGTCTACACTGGATGCGACAAAGTGACTGTTAAAAATCATTTGAACTTTGTGTCAGTACATCATAAATAGAATGAGGCATCAGGTTACTGCCAGGGATTTGTTGTGTCGTGCCACATCCAGTGTAAACAGCATCACTGATTATAATAGGTTCTATTGTATTTTGTTGCGCCGTCCGTTGTAGACACGGTGTTAGAACTTATATTAAATATCGTTACATATGATGTATGTATGATGCCATCCATAATTGATAGAACTTTTTTTATTTCAGAGACTGAAAATCATCAATCGTAGATTTCCATTCTCTATCGCCAAGCTACACACTCTCACACCGTGTCTAGACTGGATGCGACAAAGTGACTGTTAAAAATCATTTGAACTTTGTTTCAGTACATCATAAATAGAACGAGGCATCAGTTTACTGTCAGGGATTTGTTGTGTCGCGCCGCGCCTCATCCAGTGTAAACAGCATCACTGATTATAATAGGTTCTATTGTACTTTGTTGTGCCGTCCGGTGTAGACACGGTGTTAGAACTCTTATTAAATATCGTTACATATTTATGTATGATGCCATCCATAATTGATAGAACTTTTCTATTTCAGAGACTGAAAATCATCAATAAACCAATAAAATAAAAGTAATTATAACTTATTTCAAGAATAATAATAAGAATGACAAGAATAAATAAAAATGCATCTGTGACTTAATATTGCCTCTTATTTTTCAATGGGTTGAAAGTTCTCATTAAACACATAGCTTTCTTCTCATCTTTGTGCATTTGCATATTTATGAATCAAAATGTTTAACTTTAACTTTGTTTAACTTTTTAACATCTAATATTTGTTGTCTTATTTCTCTTTTCAGAGTTTAGCTCCAACCCCAATTAAGCAGACCTGAGCAGCTGATCAAGGATCACCAGAAACTTTGCAGAACGTTGGTCCTCCATGCCCAGGACTGGACACCAGTGTTGTAAGTCATCAATCTAGCAGTCATCCTGCTTCTCTGAATTGTCATGCTCAGAACATATTGCAGGAGATCTCAACATTGTCTCTCAAGGTCCACTTACATGCAGAGTTTTGCTCCAACCTAGTGCAGTGCACCTGAACAAACTAATCAAGGTTTTCAGTTTTACTAACTATAAAGTCACAAACAGGTGAGTGTGATCAGGTGTGGACCTAAACTCTGGGTGTGAATCACTCAGGTCCCTTGCTCAGTAGTCAGTAGTTAAGGGCTGTCTCAATCACAAAATTCTGTTTGCTCCATAAAAAAGCAGTGAAAACCAGGAAGCATCGATGCTCACTATGTTCCCTTATAGGAAGTTCTGAAGCTCAAAACTTAAGAGATAATTCACTACAAAATGACACGTGATAGATTTTAAAACACAAACCAATATTATATTTCAGCATAAACATACAACACTAAACAGTAATGTCTAATCTAGCAAATATTTATTTATGACTGAAATCTTGCACATACATGTAACAAAGTATTTATCATAATGTGCTGTAAATAGCATTAAAAAAAGATATCAGTTTTACTGTTGTGCATTAATGTCAGTAGTGATGTTGTACAATGAGGACGGAAATAGTCAGCAGTGTGTAGTGTGTAGTGAGCCTTACCAGTGCCTGAATTCGTGTACACAATATATTAATTCACAACCTAGTGAACTATTAACTATTAAGAGACGAACCCTCTGTATGACAGTGGACCTTGAGGGCCAGAGTTGAGAACCCCTGACATACTGATTAGTTAATAATCACTCATGAAGAATGAGTACACTTTAATTTGTACAGAAATATGCAATATTTGACTCCTATTCAGTGATGCTTTTATCTTTTTTCCCCTTTTGTTTGTGTGTCAATCACAGCTAAATAAAACCAAAGGCCATTCAGCCACAGGTCACTGCATCTTTTGCTGTGTAAGTTCATTTTTTTGAATGTCAAACACGTTCTCAGTATTTATATTTGGTTTGGTTTTTACAACCGTTTTAGAGTCACCGATCCTAAAGTGACGTGACATGTGGCCAAGTATGGTGACCCATACTTGGAATTAGTGCTCTGCATTTAACCCATCCAAAGTTAACACACACAGCAGTGAACACACACACACACCGTGAACACACACCCGGAGCAGTGGGCAGCCATTTTTTTTCTGCGGCGCCCGGGGAGCAGTTGGGGGTTCGGTGCCTTGCTCAAGGGCACCTCAGTCGTGGTATTGAAGGTGGGAGAGAGCGCTGTACATTCAGGAGGCCCTGCCAAGTATTGAGTGCATAGAAATGAACATACTTTTCAGAAGCCTGACATTTCTGTTTAAAATATCCTTTTTTTATTGATCTTATGTAATATTCTAATTTTCTGAGACACTGAATTTTGGGTTTTCATTATCTGTAAGCCATAATCATCAAAATTTCAAGAAATAAAGGCTTGAAATATTTCACTCTATGTGTAATGAATCTATATAATATATGGGTTTCACTTTCTGAAATGAGTGACAACAAATATTGACCTTTTTCATGATATTCTAATTTTTTGAGATGTACCTGTACATGTAACAAAGTATTTATCATAATGTGCTGTAAATAGCATTAAAAAAAGATATCAGTTTTACTGTTGTGCATTAATGTCAGTAGTGATGTTGTACAATGAGGACGGAAATAGTCACCAGTGTGTAGTGAGCCACTGTCCTTACCAGTGCCTGAATTCGTGTACACAATATATTAATTCACAACCTAGTGAACTATTAAGCTGATTGAGACGAACCCTCTGTATGACAGTGGACCTTGAGGGCCAGAGTTGAGAACCCCTGACATACTGATTAGTTAATAATCACTCATGAAGAATGAGTACACTTTAATTTGTACAGAAATATGCAATATTTGACTCCTATTCAGTGATGCTTTTATCTTTTTTCCCCTTTTGTTTGTGTGTCAATCACAGCTAAATAAAACCAAAGGCCATTCAGCCACAGGTCACTGCATCTTTTGCTGTGTAAGTTCATTTTTTTGAATATCAAACACATTCTCAGTATTTATATTTGGTTTGGTTTTTATAACCATTTTAGAGTCACCGTTTTGGTATGGTTCTTATGTACTATCCTTTTAACATTTCAGCAGCTGACTTTTTTTTAGTACTTGCATAGTAATTTTAATTGTACCACATTGCAATGCATATATAGCAGAGCTCCAGACTAACATTTGAGAGCAGCGAGTTTTACAGATGGTGGTGCCAGAAGCAGATTTGGTAGCACTGGGGGTGGTGTGTGGGGGGTATTAAAAATAATAAAAAAAGATAATTAAATCATAAAATTATTATAGTTTTGCATTAATAAGTGTAGTTACTAGTAATATTACACATTTATTTCTTGGTAATGCACATTTGACAGTAAAGCACTGAGCTTGAGTTGGGAAGCACAACATGTACTTTTATTAACAACAGTAACATGTGCAAAATGTAAGTTTTATATAGAAAATTAACATATTCTACTCTCATTAAATGTACCATTATTCTTCTGTAGTATTATATGGAACTGACCAACAACTTCAGTGATTATAAAACGAGCTCTCTTGCTTTATGTGTGATTCAGTGAGAGAATTTTTTTTTTTCAAGGCACTTTGTGACTTTTCTTACTTCATACACAAAAAAGAGCAAAACTTTTACAAAATTTGATTTCTTGATGATTTAAAATTTGATATTAGTGATTTTATAATTTTTAAATATAAAGTAAAAAGTAGAAATGAATGACTAATAAGCCTATAAGTGTTCATCTGCTGCCATCTACTGGTTATAGTGGTAATTTGATGCCCCTTTTTTTTAATTTTACACAAGTGTTTGTTTACCACAAAGCATATTTTGGTCATCCCTTTAACCCTCAAGCGCCAAAGTCACAAAATTGCGACAAGACGTCATACTTAATAAAATAGGCTGTAGATCCTAATATGGTGTTATATCTCATTTGTATTCCCTACCACTAGATGGCAGACGATTCTAGACCAAAATGACGTCATGTTCCTATTCAAAGTGTTCGAGCAAATAGCAGAGCAAGTGAGCTATCGTGTCATTGATGCGGAAGCAGTTCAGTTCACAGCGTGCGAGTAAATTGTGAGATTTGTGAGAGAAAATCGCCAAATGGCTAATAAAAAGTTGTACCGTGAGGATGTGTT